AGTAAGTACACTGCGTGTGTGAACACAAAAATGCCTAGTCAAACACACAGAATGGCAAACATCACTCATTGCTGTTCAGTGGAGTAAAGGAGCCTTGCCGTTCCTTACGACTTATTCAATAGTCATTGACTGGGTCATCCTAGCACTTGAATTTTGTTGGAATTCGTTGAGCTTGCTTCATTCACATATGTAGAAATTATATTTTAAAAATCTCAGCGAAGTTGAAATGAGTAATTCAGTGCACCAAGATTTTACAAATATCAACTTCCCACTCGGCGTCCAATCATTTTCGAACTATTCAGTCGAATCTTGATCACAGTTCATATGAATTGCTGCATATGCGTTCCAGAACTTTGCATCTGCTTTTGGCTGTATACCTAGAGCAATTTCGCTAATAAAGTTTCATAACAGGGAGCTGGGTCGACATCTGATTGCATCCTCATTTTCTAGAAAGACATTTGTAATTTATACGCAGTTTTCGACTGCTTTTCTTTTGCAGTCGTAAGCTAGACTTACCTGAAGTGGTCCGTCCACATGATTTTTGTGATGCTGCAGTTATTTTGTGGAAATCAAGCCGAATATCTCGGATTAAGTCCTCATTTGACTTTTCCTCAGAGTTCCATATCCTGTCAATTCCTAGAAAGATATTACGTCTAGCCTTCTACACAGTCCCTCGGAAATGTGAATAGTACTAATGATTTAGTGATTTGGAGAGGAACGTAGTAACCATTTCATACCAAACACAAGTTAATATTCGGCTTAGAAGCTATGGGAATGTCTCATTACCTACCCCAACACTTTTTCGGCAGCTTGCGAAGTATCTCTAATTAGACAGCCAAAAGCAGAATGGTCTTCTGTGTTTAATAGTTTCCAGGATCCACTGCTCATTTGCTGCAGGAAGCAATGCGCATACAGCGTTCAAACTACAGGTAAATCACTTGCACAGGACGGAATCTTCATTCCATGTTTTAAGGAATTTTTCAGTTAATTTATTCGGTTAATAATATATTTCCCCACAGGTCATATAGAAAATCTGACCGTTTCTGTCACTAATGACTTACTTCCCTGGACATCACGAAATGGTTACATGGCTGGGGGGGAGGTAATGGCAATACAAGGAAATCGTTTTGTCAACATTATATACAACTTCTAAAATAAGGGATTTTTCCATTTTTCACAGCTGCTTTTGGATAAGTAATTAGCTGGACCTGAAAATCTACCGGAAAAACACAAATGTTCCTCGACAAAAGTGATTAGGCTAGGAGTAGTCCATTAGACCTGTATATTTTCAAATAGACATATGGCGCCATTTCACCGTTGAGTACTGTAAATATCTAGTGGGCAGCATTTATCGATCACCTTCATGTGGAGCAGACCACAACCAGGTACTGCTTAACACAATTTCAGCGGCACAAGGCATGGGTTATGATCAAATTGTCATAGCTGGCGACTTCAATATCCCATCTCTTAACTTGATGACGGGATATACCCAGGACAGATTTGATCGAAATCTGCTGCATACCTTCACGGAGGCCGGATTCACTGAAAATGTCAGAATGGATACTAGATGGGGCCCAGATGGGAAGTCTTCTAGACTGGATTATGTGCTCACTAGTGACCAGCTACTAGTGGAAAACGTTCAGATCACAAATCCCATAGGTAGTAGTGACCACGCGGTCATAGTATTCGACATAGTCCTCCGCGAGCGTTTACAGTGGGACAGTACACAGCCCTATCTGTGTTATAACAAAGCCGATTACACCGAAATGCGAAGACTTTTGTCTGAAGCAAATTGGCCAAAAAATTGGACAGAGCTTACAGTAGAAGAATACCGGAGAGTGGTAAAGGAGATCATTCACCAGGCGATCTCAGACACTGTTCCTTTGGTCACACCTAAAGCTAGAAAGCAACGTTCATGGCTAAAAAGGGGGACACAACGCCTTCTACAGGCGAAGCGAAAAGCCTGGTTTGCGTGGCGAGTATCGAAAAGTCAACCCGAACATGAAATGTACCTTGAACTCAGGAATCGATGTAACATACGAGTCCGGAGTGATAGAAGGACATTTCAGAGAAACCTCGCCAATAAGCTTCTCGTGAACCCCAAAAGCCTATACAGGTTTATGTCTGAAAGAAAACCGACCAACCAGGGAGCTTGCAATCTAGTGGTTTCTGATGGGAAATCTCCTACTAGTTTTGAAATGGCAGAGGCATTGATTCTAGCCTTTCACGGGCAACTGAACAGTAACGAGGATTTTACCCCCACAAAACATCAAGATTACAATGCAAAACCAACGTGCGAAAACCTGCTGGGTACATTTCAAATTACTCCGGCTATGGTACTCATAAAATTGGGAAAGTTGGTTTCGGGAAAGTCTGCAGGTTGCGATGACATCAGCCCATCTATCCTGAAGCAGTGTTCAGAAAGTCTCTGCCAACCCCTAAGTGATCTGTTTCAACACTCCTTTGATGTAGGGAAACTTCCATGTGAATTGAGACGAGCCATCCTATCCTCTATCTTCAAGGGTGGTGATCGGCAGGATGCGACCAGTTAGAGACCAGTTGCGCTACTTCCAGTGATATCGAAGATATTGGAAAGTCTCATTGACGACCACATGAGAAAATACTTCAACAGGACTAACCTACTCCATGAAGCACAGCACAGTTTCAGGAGGGGAAGATCCTGTGTGACGAATCTTCTACTAGCTTGGAACGATTGGACACTATCCTGGGACGTAAAGGTACCAATCCATGTGATCTTTCTCGACTTTGCGAAAGCATTCGACACAGTTCACCATGGTCTGCTCCTTCACAAAATAAGCAAGGTGGGTGTATCTGGAGCACTTCTCGTATTGCTGAAAGATTACTTAAGCCGGAGGGAATTCTGCACCAAAGTCAACCGCATCCGATCATCCTGGCACACCTCGACATCAGGGGTTCCTCAGGGTTCTATCTTAGGGCCGTTGATGTTTTTGATTTTTACCAACGACCTGCCCTGTCAAATGAACTGCTCTGCGCTTCTTTACGCTGACGACGTAAAGATTTGGAGAGCAATAAACTCATCGGAAGACTCCGACACATTGCAGGCTGTCCTGCAAAATCTGGGGGACTGGGCTCTGGCTAACGGAATGCCTTTCAACCTAAAGAAGTGCAAAGTAGTGCAACTTCATTCCGGCAGGTCCCAGAGTGTAAATTATACCCTTGGTGGCCAGAACTTGAGTTGTGTGCCATCAGAGCGCGACCTAGGTCTTATTTTAACAGAAAACCTAAACACCAGTGGAAATTACACGAGGGACGTCGCCGAAACTTACGCCACTTTACACTTTGTGCATGGGCAGCTGGGAGCTCTTACTCCCGAACTATTCTTAAGGTTGTATACGACATACATGAGGCCACTCCTTGAGGTGCATAATATCATTGCTCCTCCGCTACTCAAATGGGATGCTAACATTCTAGAAAGTGTCCAGAGACGAGCGACAAAATGGGTGCTCGGCCTCCACAACAAATCATATGAGGAAAGACTGAAGAAATTAGGTCTTTTCACACTTAGTTACCGCAGTCACAGGGGAGACCTGATCACCGTCTATAAGATCTTAGATGACCAGGCCCACCCAAATAAAAGCATCCTGCCATTAAGTGATTATAGGCTTCCTCGAGGTGACCCGCTAAGGATAGCACACCAGAGGCCAAGGACTTGAGTGTGTTCACATTTCTTTTCGCTTCGAGTTTGCCGTCTCTGGAACGCTTTACCGGCGGCCATGACTACAGCACCATCTGTGGAGACTTTTAAGCGGAAGCTGGACAATCATGCAGAAATGCATGGTTTGTGTCTCAATGGCTTATCCTCTTAAAATTTGATACCACACTGTCAATGGATAAGCATACAAGCTAAATCCCCACGACTTGTTCTGTCTTCTCTCACTGTACCGACTACTCTATCTTTTCCTTAGGTCACCTTTATATTTCACTTATCTCAACCTATATTATCTACACTACAACCTATTATTATTACTATTCTGCTTTTATGACTACACAAATGACCAACGGGTGTTAGGTCAAACTCCATTCACGGCAGCAACTCAGTCCTGACATACTGCACACTACAAACCACATCTTGACCAATCCTCGCATCACTCCTTTTGGAGTCTACCAGAGCTAAAGCATTCAGGTGGCGGGACTTACTACACATAAGTTCACCGAAGATCTGGAACCTCTACCTTACAATCAAGAAGCGAGCTCAAAGAAATCACTGGTTTATACTAGCTGGTAATCAGGATATTGGATTGGACATTTACTTTCCAGTATCCAATTCACAGCTCAAAGTTCGTACTCTGAAGGCCACGCTTCAAGGACACCTATTGGCAGAGAATGAACGCCGGGCGATTGCGTTTGGTCGTCAATGGGTTTCGTCGAACATTTTCTTTCAATTACTATCCAAAATCAAATGGACTTCATTCTGTTTCATACAAGCATTTAGGTAGACAACCGGCAACCTTTCGGCACAATATACCCTGCAGATATTATGGACATGATGCACCAATAACGAAACCAATGATTGAAGACCGAGTAATGCTTGTGTTAAGACTTTATGATAAAGTTGATCCTAATAAGGTAGTTTCAAAATCTACAATCATGAAATTTTCAGCTCACACTGGACTCTAAATTCCGTGAAGATTTCGGAATAGATAGCTTAGATCATGTAGAACTAGTTATGGCGATGGAAGAGGAATTCTGTAAGTTCTTTTAGATATGTGTATATCTTTAGGCTTTGAAATACCTGATATTGACGCTCAAAGATTTCTCACACCACGGGATATCATACAGTACATGTGCGACAAACATGATATATATGAATAGTTGTAGCTGCTTAGGCACTGTTGAAACCATTATTTAGTATTTAATTGCCAAATAAACTTGTATACATCAATATTTCGTTCTCATATGTTGTATTAGTACTTAATTTTACCTGAAGCTTCTTACTTAGGTGATTGATAAGTGAAAAGATGGGCTCGCAGTCTGAAGATGAAGAGGACTCACAAGATGCCTTGCCTTTCGATGTTGATGAAGTACGTTCCTTAATGTTATATTCTAACATTTGAAATTACGGTTAAAGTGTGATTAAAAGACCATTTTTGTTCCGCATAACTTTACAGTAGGATTGTGTGCGCTAAGTGTGTTAAGGCATAGTATAAACACATACCCTGTATTTCAAAGTTTCTGTAGCTTTAAACGCTGTGTTGTGATATCTTTTAAATTCGCCACTAGATCGTATGTTTTTCGAATCATTATACCGGAAATTTCGTCAAATGAAGTCATCCTTTCAAATATTATTAATAACATTGTTAAAATTCTCATTTAACGAATATGGAGAATACTGTCCTTCCCATTCTTTCTTTTTATACTTTCGAGACTTGACATCACAAAATGGTTTTTCTGTGTAAGGCTAATCTAACTAGTTGTACATGTTCAGTTGTTGTTTTGGCGTGGATTACCATTCTTAGTGTTTGCTATTCACATTATAAATTAAAAGTCTCCACTCGTGATAATTTCACTATATCTTATCCCCTATTCCCCTTTATGTTAGAAAACTTTAACCGTTATATCTAAAATATAATTCTATAACGTTTCCAAATAGTAATAGATACTAACAAAATGTGAAATAAAAGTGGATTTATTCATAAACAAACAATAACAGGGCTTAAAAATCATTTTTCTCGGTTAACTAATTCGTCAGGATTTTACCGGAAATACTCTTTTTTCCAAAAGATACAAATTAAGGTATAGATTAGTTTTTATATCTAATTATATGTGCATAAAGCCGCCAAAGTGAAACTTTAATCACCACCAACTACCAATAAGCGAATGACTTCGAACGCACCAGTCACTTGGAAGGGGCACTTTTGTGTATGGAATACATATATTTATGAAATAATGCATAAAAACTGTGGAAAAGTGTTAGAGAAAACACCTTTCTCTCACATGTGATAAAAATAGCTCTCAGTTTTAGGTTGGAGTATTAACAGTATAATTCCATTGTGGATAAAATTTATTTTGATAGAGTCTCACAGTGTATTACAGTAGTATTTACTGAGCAATAAATTGTGCTCGAAACGTGGTCGTCAGTAAATATTACTGTATAACACTGAGACTTTATTAAAATAAATTTCACCTACAATGGAATCATATTCTACCATAGTGCACAAGTTCTATTCGTATATCAACACAGTAATTTAACCACATTCTATGCATGTAATTATCTAGGTCTTCTAACCCTAATCTTTCCTGAACCTAACCCTAACGTGAAGATATGCCTAAACTAACCCTAATCTAACTTGAACTAACCCTAATGTTGCCTTTAATAGGTTAACCTAACCCTAACTTGTCTTTGACTTAAAGCGTAACTTAGTCTTTCCCAAACCTGAGCTGAAACATGCCAAATATCCCATTTAATAACACAACACTTCGATGAGGATATTTTATTGATGATGACATTATTTGCTAGGTTTCACTAACTTCAGTGGCGCGACCGCACCGCACGGGTAGTTAATGGTGCACAAAGTTTAACTTGGCCGCTATTTTGCAAGAATTAAGATGATTCATGACGAATTTCAGTAACATTTTTAATTGTTTCACGCAATAGGTCGAAGTATTTCCGTAGCACTGAAATGAATAAGGGCAATTAATAAGCGGTGAAATCAGATACCTTTTTTGATTAGAAAATTAAGTTCCTTACGTAAAAAATAAAATTACTTGTTTGAAAATCAGTAGGATATAGGGAAACCAAGAATTATCAGAAGAAATGTGAGATTCAAGATGGGGTGCATTCAGCGAACTCGCAATGTCTCGTTAATATCTCAAATTGAAGTTAACTTCTGGGAAGAACAAGTTTGTAGTAATTCAGAGGAAATCACTATCCAGTGTCGATTAAAAAGAGACTAGGCTGGGAATTATCTAAAAAGATTATATACTGGTACCTCACAAACGTAACTGATAAGATTCGTATTAGTTGGGTGGAAAAAGTAGTATGAAGTGTGTAATAGTATCTTGTGTTGTATTGTCTTCCTATCAAGGCAGGTATAAAAAAATAGTTGTTTTAAAATGCTTGGTACCTTTGTGTAGACAGGGACGCATGGTGTGCAGCACCCTAGAAACTCAGGTTTGCAGGCAAATTTGATTCCACCAAATACAGCATCCGGTGATGAAATTTTGGCCACAAGTAGACCAATCAATTTTCAGGTATTGGTTTTGTAGAAATTTTGTTTGATTGGTTGGAGGATTTCATCATGAGCTGATATCAGTTAGAGAACCAATGGCTTAGAGGTCTATGAGCTAGCTCACCTTGTAACCAGAAGGTCCCGGGTTCGAACTCTGGCGGTGGATGCGTACTGCTGAATAGCCCCAAACTAGGACGTAGGAAACAGCTGTCCAGTACTCCCAGATTTTCGAATGGTTCTCTAACTGATATCAGCTCATGATGAAATCCTCCAACCAAATGACCAATCAATATTAATTTCATTTAGCCACACATGTCTCAGTGTGCGTTGGTGGCATAGCGGTTAGGACGCTCGCCGACCATGCACATGGTCCGGGTTCGATCCCCGGCCGGCGCACTCCTTTACCTCGCTAAGCCAGAAATAATGCTGGTGAAGAGGAAAGGTTGGGCATGAGGCTAGCAACCCCATCCTGTAAAATAAACACTGCTACAGAAACTTCAAGCCACTAGCTTGAAGCCTTATGTTCCACTGGGGAACGTGAAGGAAAAAAAAGACACATGTCTCAGTGACTATCTTCTTGGCATGTCAGTGATGTAGATAGTTTGAGCTGGTGGGTCGTAAATGCGAGCTGTAACCCAATTTATGAGTTTTGGATGGCCAGTAAAGTTAGCTAACAAGAGAGGAGCATCTTGTGACACAGTGTGTCAACATAGTACTGACTAAGGATAAGTTTTAGGACTTTATCCTGATACTCAGTCTTGTTTTACACATTTTTTTACAGGGTGTTGCATATTTTATCGTGTGTGCAGGCAGTACTAATTAATGACTAGGTGGGAAACCGGCCGGCTTGTTTAGGACCGAGCTTATCATTGGTGTACGAGTATATTTTTCAGCTCAGAGTAAAACCGGTTGAAACCACTCGAAATGTGGCTAGTTGCTTTGGAAAAATGGTAGTACACAGAATCAGATTCTTGATATGCAATCTACCGATTTGAACTGAGTGCCACTGAGTAAACTACTGGTAAACTATTCTTTCTAACATGTAGGGGAGGATATATTAACCTAATATGATTTTTAAACATTTTTAAACTTCGATTTCATGTTTCACAGTGATCTGATTGCTACTTTTATAGCGTAAAAGATGTAAGATATTAACGCAGACATTTAGAACAAAACCATATATTAGACAGACAAATATTATTATTCGCTTGGGTTCCGAGTGCGGCATAGAACTTAAACAACACCTATCCATTTCACTTTGTTCCCTGAAGTTTCCTTTTAGATGGCTCCGTGATTACTCACAAGGTGTCATCTCCTCACACGATCTCCTTGAGGTCACCCTCTGACTCATACTCAAGCTGTCATTTCCCATCCGGATTCCAATTTGGGTCCTGGCACGTTATGTCACTTAACGGTCTCACCAGAGTAAATCTAACCCTTCTCCATTTTCTTCGGGATCTTTGTTCGATAGTATGTTTCTGGTTTGTTTATTGCCAGAGTTCCTTATTGCTTATCCTTTGAGATTGGTCATCTGATCTTCAGAATGCAACCGACAAAGGCAGATGTTGATAAAAGTCTACAGTAGCCCTTTGGAAATGTATTCCTAACGCAAACAAACGCCTTAGAAGAACTGATTTGACATTAGTGTTAAATATTCGGATATTTTTCTTAATGCTAAGTGTAGTAGATTTCCACGCTGATTCCGGAGTATTGAAGGTCTTTCTTGCTTTTCCAATTCTACCTTTAAATTCGTCATCGGTGCTGTCGCCTGTAGTTAAAACGTTGCTGTCTAGATAAGTGAGAGAGAGGTCACCTCCTTCAAATTTTTCCTGCTAGTATTGCTTATCGTTGTTACTGGTTGGTTATCTTCATCACCCCTGACTTCTCTATGTTTAAGCATTGTGGCACGTAGTACTGACTAATTAGTAGTTGAGGTAAAGATATGATTTGTACTCTACCAAGATGGTACAGCGGTTAGGACTCTCACTGACCATGCACATGGTCTGAGGTTTGATCCCCCACCGATGCACACCCGATATCAATGGTCGGTCTGCAAAATTAGGCTACCGATATCACATACTGAAAATTCCATACTTGTACCGCAAATACGGTGTGGAATCAAGCTATGATCTATATATATACTGCTTTTTAATTCGTTACCCGTCAACGCTTCTACAGTGATATGTGTCATTTTAAAAGTTATATATTTCAAAATTCTACCTGTAATATGGTTACGTGTTAGGCGGTTGGAAACGTCAACATTAAGGTGTAGGTCTGATGATTATAATTACGGAAATCATGACCAGTCAGTCTGTACAAGTTAGCAACAGGTTGTTACACAATCAGTGTTGTGTAAGCTTATGATAACTAGGGAAAAAATATTAGATAAGAAGAGGTTAACTGAATAGTGATAGTAACAAAATAATAGTAACAATGTCAACTGACAGTTACAAGGCTAGGGGAAAATGTTACTTATTAGACTCTGCGCGTGTGTGGATGGCCGTGACGAAGAAAGGGGTTACCATACTTAGATATCACGTATGTTCCTCTTTCCTTGTCTCTCCGAATATCTTTACAATCACATCTACTTTGATGATCTATATTGTTTTGCTGTTTCCAACAGCTGATCATGTTCAACTTTTGATTGAAATAACTTAATGAGAATTCTGTGGAACTGTGGTTGATTGGCTAAGGTTCTTGACTTCCATATCAACGGACCACTAGTTCTAAACCCACTCCATCTATCTAGGTTTTGACAGTCAGCTGGTATTGTGGTGAGAGCAAGCTGCTAGCCAATTGGTAGACATTGATCTACGCTGATTGGTGGAAATTAATCTAGGCTGATTCAACAACCGATCACAGCTGACCTAGACGTGGACAAATATGATTCGCAGACAAGTGGCTCGCATTTCCGAGAAATATCGAAAACGAGAAAGCAGAAGACTGCGTTTTGTTTGCAATCAACCAATCAGAAGACCGCATTCTTTCTGCGGGCAGAGCCTTATTAATGTACATAAAAATCTATAAATACGTGTTGATTTTTCGTAATAAACGATCTGTTGCCTGGCCCTTGTCTTCTGTTGTTACAGTATCACTAACCCTCACACAACAGCTGGGGGGGGGCATTATCACTTGTATAGAATTCTAAGTGGTTGTTCAGTAAAAGTTAGTAATAATAATAATATACAGTGAGAAAGTTGCCTAGACATTGTTCTGTCATTAAAGTTGAACTTTTCTGTAATTCTGCTTTTAGGTGATGGCGGCGAAGCGTGACAATCCAGGTATGTTTGTTAGTGCCTGGCAAGCGGATGAAAATGATATTGACCAGTGGACTGAAGCTCAGATAAAAGGTATGACATTGCTTGTTTTTTTCGCTTTATTCCTTTACCTTGAATCATTGTGAAGTTAGACATTTCAAAATACGTATATAGGTTTTAAAAAACCTTTCGACAACCACTCAGTTAATGCGTGGTGATAGGGATTGTCTGTAACGATGACCCAATGAGCTACACTAGTCGGAACGAATATTCCTACAGTGTAAGGTTCCTTGGATATCAGTTAGACTAAGAGCAGCTATCACCACAGTGTGAGCTGTTTACACTGTGTTAAGGTTGTGAAGACATAGTCTTATTGCTGGCAAATAAGGATGTCACGGCAGTAAGGTACTTCTCTCAGACGAGTGGAACATAGGGCCTTAAGCTGTTTAGATTTCAGTAGGAGTGATGTTACCGGTAGAGTCCCGAAGACCGTTGTTGAATCAGTTTCGGTGCATTTATTCGGCGTTGATAAAGCGTTGCTTATCAATATCTCCATCCATTGTGCTATATTGGTTGTATGTGACTGTATGAATTCTATAGCCGATTTCTTTTTCTTGATTCCTCTAGACGTTAGGTGTCCTGGCAACCTTACTGATCTTGACCTGTTACTTTGATCCTAAAATCATTGTAAGGCGATAGATAAACTAAATTACTTTGTTCACTTGGCTTCACCTGACCTTCAAACTAACATAATTGGTTTTTGGGTTTCTATGTTTGAATGCCACTTTTATTACTATTATTATTCCTGCCTTATTAGGAATTCTATGTATGGTTTCAGATGCGGTTCCCCTCTTGTAGGGTAGCATATCTGATACTTTAAATTCCCTCTTTCAGTATATATTTGGTGTTCATTCCATCCGTATTGGTAGTTTCATTCTTATTCTTCGAATCTCTTATATACTCCGTGATAAATTTACCAGAATAATTATTAAGTGTCATAGATTGTCGTATATGCCTTAGATTTTGCCGGTTTTTTTCGACACTATTTAATTGTTTTACCCTCCACTATTCATATTTCCACTAACATGGAGTGGAGTGAATCGAAATCCAGATATCCGTTTGAATGCTTAGGTTTTCTGCAAGCACTAGTGCTTAACTCGCCTTCATTTTTATTTTTTATGAGGCAATCCAACATTGGAAGCTTCTCTTTGTGACATTGTAGCTCGTAAATGAATTTATTTGAGTCTACCGTTGAATCAATGTGCTCAAAAAACCGTCTCTCTTTAAATAATGTGAATGTGTTATCTACATGCTTTGGGGTGTGGGGTGGGTGGGAGAAGGGTTGATCAAATGAATGTAGAATTACATTACACTACCACAGTGTCCAAGTTTCTTTTTACACATATACTAGTTGTAATATCCCCTTTACTCGCTTTATCCTTTCCTACGCCTCAATATTCTTAGAGGTCGGATCACTTTCATTTCTTTACTTCTCCGGTTGTTTGTCATCAAGTTCATTCAGCAGCTATAGGATAAATAGCACATGTCAACTGATCCACAGTGGAAAATTCAGTGAAGTCTTTGAAGTGAAGACAGAAGTAAGACAAGGCTGTCTGTCTGTCTACTATCACCGATAGTATTCCTAATTGTGTTGGACTGGATTATGTGGCACACCGTGCATCCTGGGGGGGGGTGAGAAGACAGGAATACGTTGGACCGATGAAAAAGACTTTAGAAGATCTGGACTTCGTAGACAATTTATATCGAATGTCACACAAACTTGAAGATCTATAGGCGAAAACCAAGGAGTTGGCAGAAGTGCCTAATCAAGGCACTCTACTCAAACTCACGTAGCCATGTAAGGGCTTATGGGGAATTGTTATCTGAATTGATAACAACCAGTGGTGTCCGTCAGGGATGTCCACTTTCCCCATTTCTGTTTCACTTCATCATAGATATGCTGATGGAAGTATCCTTAACTGAACTTAACGACTTAGGAATCGACTTGTTACCAGGGAATAGTCTTATGGACTTAGAATATGCAGATGACATAGTCCTGTTAGGGGAGGATGCTGACAAAATTCAGAGTCTTCTGAACACCTTGAGCAGCAATCTTCGTATGTTTGGCTTGCGAATTACCCCTGTAAAGTGTAAGATGCTGCTACAGGACTGGACTACGTAAACTCCTAGCTTAGTGATAGGGAGTGAAGTGATAGAACATGTTGACCACTTCACCTATTTGGGAAGTTGTTTCAGCACCAGCGAACTGATCGGCGATGAAATCTCAGCACGGATCCAGAAAGCTAGGGCTGCTTTTGCTAACTTACACCATCTCTGGCGTAGGCGTGACATCCGGCTATCGACCAAGGGACGTGTGTACTGCTTAGCAGTTCGCTCCGTCCTTCTCTATGGCTCTGAAACATAGCCAATACGAGTTGAAGACATGAAAAGGTTGACTGTTTTTTATCATAGATGTCAACGATCTCTTTCTCACGTTAGGTGGTGGTATAATAAGGTAAGTAATGTTGACGTTAGGCGTAGAGTGTTGGGCAAAGAGGGCAAATCGATCGACGAGGCTATAAAGTTACATAGGTGACGTGGTGCGCATGCCTAACCATCGCCTCCCCCGACGGGCGGGCATTACTAGCTGATATAGGTGCAGGTTGGAAAAGAGTAAGTGGTGGCCAAACAGAAACATGGCATCAATCCATGAAATCTGTGACAGTTAAACTGAGTCAGGTGGGGAGATACAGACTTCCGGGTTGGGGCCCGCCCTCGGGACTCTAAGAATCAATGGCTGGAGACAATAGGTGACATGGCTCAAAATCGTTGTCAATGTCTTACGCAGATGTATTCAGTCTCTGTAATCTTTCATATTCCTTTCTACCATTACTCATTCTGTTTCACTTTTATACTTATCTAAATTCTATTGATTCTCTTCACTCATTTTCTTGTCTACCTTTGTGTGCTCTTTGGAACGTGACAACTCGAACTGCTGCACTTCGGTGGCAAGTTCTATGTTGAATCCAGACAGACAGACAGTTGGCAGAAGAGGCTGGCAGCGAAGACAGGACTTCAAGCAAACATAGAGAAGACGGAGGTGAGGAAGATAACCAGCCGACAACAACAACAAGCACCAATCACTGTCAACGGAATAAATTTGAAAGGAGATCACTTCCTTCATTTACCTAGATAGTATCGTCCCAACCACAGGCGTTGGTTGTCAAAACCAGAATCAGAAAGGCGAGATAGACTTTCTTCATCACTCTGAAATGAGTTTGGAAATCTTCTGTAGTCTGCAGCATAAAGAACAAGGTGTTCGGGTTCTGATATTCAACACCAACGTTATGTCAGTTCTTCTGTATGTGTCAGAAATTTGGCCCTACGCATCACAAAAGGCATTTCCAACAAGTCACTGCAGACTTCTTTTTTATCAATAGTTGCCTTCTCTGGCTCCTCCATACTGTAGATCAGATGGCCTAAAAGAGTTAACAACAAGAAGAAACTCTGGAAACGAACCAATCAAGAACCTATCGCTGAACAAATATGTCGAAGAAAATGGAGATGGATTTGGCACACACTCTGAGGAGACCATTGGATGATAACATTGTGTACCGGGCCCTCAAGTAGAGCCCAAGTGAGATGCCCGAGGGTGACATGAAGAAGATAAGGGACTATGGGCGTTGTCGGAGCCAGCTGAAGAGAACTGGACAAAATGGAGATGTGCTGTTGAAGCCCTGTGTTCCACTAGGAACCAAACAGAATAATAATAATAGTAATATACAGATAGCCTTAAGCTTGTGACGTCATCATATATCAGTATTACGTTTGTAATGCTAAGTGGTTGGAAGCAATCGGCATAAAGACCTAGACATAAGTTTCTTGATTTTTGATACTAGTCAAAAAGGCTTTTTGTAGAGCATCTGATGTGTCTTTCCGTGTGATGTACAGTCAGAGACGAGTCACCTACATTACAAACTATTCCATCAAGTACCAGAATTTATGAGCAGAAGTATGCTATTGACCACTAACTAATGACCACTTAACTGTTTTGTAAATGCCTCACATTACTACGTTGATAACAACACCATCTATCTGGTTTTCATCTCATCTTCCAATGGTTCTTCTTTTTTTGTTTTTAATTTCATCAAGCTGATCCAACTAAACAGTTCATTGTTGCAGCGGAAAAAAATGATATTCCTACAATTTTCAGTTTAATTGAATCAACTAAACGAAAAGGTTTAAAAAGTGAAGCTAAATTAAAAGAATTACTATCAGCCAAAGATCAAGATGGTTATACAGCTTTGCATCGTGCAGCATACGCTGGAAGTGTTGATGTCTTGAGGGTAAGTTGTTGTTGCTATTATTGCTATTATTACTATTATTATTCTATTGCTTTGCGTTCCTGGGGGAACACAGGCCTTCAAGCGTGAGCTTTGATAACCTCACACCTATGCTTCCCTCTTTATGGGCTCGCTATCGGCTGAGCGAGATTTACTAGCACGTCGACCGGGTATCGGACCCCGAATCACATGTGTGGTTGGCGCGCATTCTACCGCTGTAACCCACCGACGTTATTAAGGTTACGTACAATTGATAAGCGTAATCGCCATATTGTTATACTTAGTTGATCGTGTAGTTAGGTAGCTAGCTATCGGAATCTGGGTTACGTGTTTCGGTCATCCTATTGGACACTCATGAACGATGGTATTACCATTGGGATTCAATGTGGCCTACTTCTCACACAGTGTCTGTAAGTATGGCATGTACTTTGCGCCGTCTAAGTGCACTCACTCTTGCGGGTGAACCGCTTGAAGTTGTTGATAAGTTTATGTATCTAGGTAGTTGTGTGAGTGCTGGCGGAGTGGTGATGGATGAGATTTCCAATGGTATAATGAAGGCTAGGGTGGCATACATCAACTTGAGCCACCTCTGGTTCCGTCATGACGTTAGCCTGGCTGTCAAAGGGTATCGCGTATACAAAGCTTCGGTGCGGACTGTCTTACTCTACACCTGTGAAACCTGGCTTCTCCGAGCTGAGGATGTGTGGCGACTCTGCATATTTGATCATCGTTGTCTCCACAGGATTGCTTGCGTTCTGTGGCATCATCGTGTGAGTAATTCTGAGGTTCAGCAGCGTGTGTGTTTGAACACAGTGGAGATCACCATTCTTTGAGTGTCGTCATCTGGAAACACCGGCTCCGGTGGCTTGAACATTTGCTGCGAATGTCATCCCAGAGGCTTCCGTACAGTTCTCTGTTCGCTAGCCCTGGGATGGGATAGAAAAGGCGGAGAGGTGGTGAGTCAATGATGTGGCGTCGTGGAATGAAAGATATTTGTGCTAGGTTAGCATCGGTTGATGCGTCACGTCTCCCTGGTTGCACTCCGAGAAATAGCCCGAATCGATGGCTCGAAACGTTATCGGATATGGCCAAGAATCGTAATCAATGGCGAACGTGTTGCAATTTCCTTCTTTCTTTCCTTTCCGACAGTAATTGACGCGTGATTTTTGAACTTGCTACAAATGACTGTTTTCCTTCCAGATGAAGTTCTTTACCCGTTCTCTACTTATATTTTTTACTTTTGATCTAAGTTCTTTTATTATTATGTGTGGCGCATCTTTCTTGGTGCCATATTGTACCAAGTTTTTTTCTGCGTTTAAATAAATAATAAATAAACTTCTCACACAGCGTCTTGACTTCTGTATATAGTTAGACAGATGACGTATACTGAGAGTTGATCTGTTTCTCACATATAAAAAATATTGTGTTAGGACATCAGGTAGTGTAAATACAAGCTACTGTCATCTAAACAAAAGAGAAACGTACCAAATATTATCAGCATAGAAAATTATATATTTAATGACTCAATATATTCATTAAGAATACCTTATCCAGGGAAATAAAATTAACACAATTGCCCCGATAATGAAATTGAGACTGGGTAAAACGTTTTTGAACATAAAGTTCAGGTATTTTTTAAATAGATTGCTAGAGTTTCGATTGCATGCAGAGGATATAAAGGGAATCCTTCTGCGAAAGGCTTGGTCTGACTTTATACATGTAACTATAAATTAGGTCTCAGCTGATGTTACTTGACCCCATTCCTTTTCAACTTCATCATAGACGTACTAATGGACTTAACCCTAACACACTTCAGCGACTCAGCGATTGACTTGCTACCAGGAAATAATCTCGTCGACTTAAAATATGCGGAGGATATAATCCTTCTAGGCGAGGACGCTGACAAAATGCAGAGTCTACTGAACACCTTGAGCAACAATCTTCGTATGTTTGGCATGCGATTCGCCCCTGTAAAATGTAAGATGATGCTGCAGGATTGGACTTCACCGACCCCTAGATTAGAAATAGGAAGTGAAGTGGTAGAGCACGTAGACCACTTCACTTACTTGGGAAGTACCATCAGCCCCAACCGGTTGATCTCAGACGAAATTTCAGCACGAATACAGAGGGCTAGGTTCGCATATGCCAGTTTACGCCGTCTCTGGCGTAGACGTGATGTCCGGCTGGCTATCGACCAAAGGGGGGGGTGTACTGCTCAACAGTCCGCTCCGTCCTCCTTTATGGCTGTGAGACCTGGCCATTGAGAGCAGAAGACATGAAAAGATTAGCTGTGTTCGATCATAGGTGTCTGCGTTCTATCTCCCGCGTGAAGTGGTATAATAAGGTGAGCAATATTGAGGTTAGGCGTCGAGTGCTAGGTAAGAAAGGGAAATCAGTCGACGAGACTGTGAAATTACATCGACTGAGATGGTTAGGACATGTGTTACGTATGCCTAGTCATCGCCTTCCTCGACAATGGGCAATGTTAGCTTATAATAGGGCCAGGCTGGAAAAGAGCTAACCAGTGGTGGTCAAACGAAAACATGGCACCAGTCAATGAAATCCACAACAGTTAGTCTAAGCCACGTAGAAAGGTGTAGACTTCCTGACTGGTTGGGGTCCTCAGGACGGTAAAAACCAATGGTTGGAAACAATTGGTGACATGGCTCAAAATCGTTCTCAATGGCTGGCGCAGATACATCCACTACTTGTGACTTATGATTTCCAATGAAACTGTTTTGTTCTTCGTTATTACTATTCCTTTCTCACACCTCTGTTTACTGTCTATATTATGCATTTCTCTTACTTTCTTCTCTTGCTTTGTGTGCTACATGGAGTGTGGTGACTTGAAATGGCGCACATATGTGCAAAGTTCTATGTCGAAAACCGACCGACTGACCAGAAGTACTAATATGCGTTCTCCTTTCGACATTCATGCCGGTCGGTGTTAATGAGAGCGTCTAAGCAATGTCTTCCGGGTATGGCCTATGTACTTAACTCCACAGAACCAAGTTAACTGGTCACTCATGTATGGAATGTTACTCAATAAACACTTGAATTCCATGCAATTGGCAATAAATCACAACACATTGTATGTGAGAGCTAGTGATATATATATAAAGGCAGCTAAAATAAGACACTCATATTAAACCCTGGTGCTTACAACCGAACTGATGGTCGTGTACGTCTACCTAGGAGGGTTGGGAAACCCTGGTTCCAAACACATGGTGTAACATGGATTCCAGAATCTGAACGGTCCTTTGAGGTTGAAGAAGTCGAAAATTATATGTTTATCTTAATGAAAGTGTAGAACTTGGGCACACTGTGGTAGAATGTAATTCCATATTAGATAAGTTTATGTTGGTATATATTTTTCTACCCATAGTTTTCTCTATCCTATTGTTCGCGTGAAATGGAAGCACTGAGTACTGTTCAGATTCAGGCGTACGTACAACTATTCACAGCAGACATCAGTCTATGAAGCTTTCAACAGCCTTGGTTTGAGCCTCGTAGGGAAGTGTAGACTGTGTGGTTTGGGTCCTTGGGATTCTAAGAGCCAATGACTGCAGACATTTGGTGATATGGCTCAGAACTGTTCCCAGTGGCTAAGATGCGTCCACTCTCTGTGATATCTTATACACATTAAACCTTCATGCCTTTCGATGTTACTATTCTTTCTCTCTCTCACACATTTCTAATGATCATAGTTCTTTTGAAACTTTGCGTGCTACGTAGAGTGTGGTAACTCAAACTGCTGCACTCTTTTATAAGTTCTATGTTGAAACTTAGTCAGTCACTTTTTCACAACACTTCAGAAAGCACACGCTATAAGCCAGAAGAAAGAAACGCACTGAAACTATAACAGACAGCAACTCATAGGAAAAAGAATAATGAAGGCATGATAAATATGAGAAGTCACAAAGAGTGAATGTATGTGTGCCATTGAGAACTGTCTTGAGGCATGTCACTAGCCATTCGTTCTCAGCCTCTGGAGAACTTCAGTCTTGTTATTCCACACTTTCCAATGTGGCTCAAATACAACAATCATTGACTTCATGGACCGACACAATGTTGTATTAGTTTGACCACTGGTAATTTTTTTTCCACCCCAATCTTATGTCAGCTAGAATTGCTTGTCGAGGAAGGCGATAGCATGGCATGCATAACACAAGTCCCTCCCTATCCAACTTCATACCACATAATACTAGAGATGGGATGCGGACGGAGGTGGCCAGCACCCCTTCATATCTTCCCCTCTCAACGGCTGTGTCCATGTCTTGACATGAAGACTCTAGAAATGCTTCATTTTCAATGTCTGCTAGGATTACTCTAATGTAGTGAAATTTTCCAGAGATCCTTCTATTTATAATGGCGTCAGTTTCTGTTTCTTGCTTCTGTACAAAAAAATCTATCGTGTTTGTTTGTTTTTATCTCTTATCCTTTAGTGTCTTATAAAACATGGCGCAAATGTGAACAATCGAACAGAAGATGGATGGACACCGTTGCATAGTGCTGCCTTTTGGAATCAACTGGCTAGTGTACAGTTACTTCTCGAAGCTGGTGCAGATCAAAATGCTCGTATGTTCTTCATTTGCGAATGTGATTTTCCATGTTTAAATATTATTTGTGTTCGGTCCTTCAGTTGTTTATGCAGCTAACTAAGCCATCAGGTCCACTTTGCCGTAAACGACTGAGGGTGGGTAAACTTCCGTCTTCCTGACGATATCCTTTCATGTAGTCACGTCTTCTTAGCCTGTACTTGGTGACTCCTGTCCACTGCCATCGTTTACTCTGGTGGTGTTCTATACAAAAATTAAAAGGCAAATGTTAACGTGTGGCGGTCCTCAATCGGGTTGATGGACATGCTGGTTTAACTGGGGGTTGGGGGACTGGGAAATCCTGATTCCAAACTTATGTTGTGTACATGGGCTCCAGAATCCGAAAGGATCGAGCGACGTTTTCGTCACCGGTAACCATGAGGACGCAGCTCCACTGCCTTGTGAATCGAGCTTCAAGTCGAAGGCTTGTGGTGGGGGTGAACCTTCAAGATAACCATATGCTTCACAGTCTGACCGTCCAGGATATTATCCCAGCCCTGTAACAAACTATGAAAATTTGTGTGATACATTTCTTGGTTTCCATAATGTTAGCAAGTTTTTGTTTCAATAATATTATAATTGCTTTCTCTTTCAAAAATGTATGCGTCTCATCGTCATCTCCATACTGATTGGTGGATATGTGAAAATTATATTTGTAAAATCTCAGTGAAATTGAAATAAATTATTCCAACGTTTCTAACCAGTTGGTTGAACGAAACTCTGACAGTATTTATATTTCAATTTCAATTTGAGATTTTATAAATATAATTTTTCACAAATGTCTACTTCTCAATAAGCGGACAATTATTGTGGAACTGTTCGGTCAAATCTTGATCACAGTTCATGTAAAAATTAATTAGCCTACTTATCACTTATTGGTTTAAGCTGTTGACCTTTACAACCACTAGGTAGGTACCGAGTATAAATTCCGCTTCACACCTACTTCAGTCTGAGCAACTGGGTAGCATTGTCACCTACTCACAAAATTAATAGCCTGATTTATTATTATTATTAAAGACAAACTTGTGACATTATGAGAACAAACAAATGCACCACATAAATTTTCATAGTTCGTCTGAGGGCTGGGTTTAGGATACACTACTGCCCGGACAAATACCCCCTGAAGCACTGAAAGCGGACCCAGAGACGACAGCAGATATGCTGACTCCATTATTGCAAAAGGTCTGGAAGGAGGGAAAGGTGCCTACTGACTGGAGGAAAGGTTACCTTGTGAAACTACCAAAGAAGGCGCGACTTAGGACTCTGCAAGATCTGGCGAGGAATCATGCTCCTGTCGACGCCAAGTAAAATTCTGAGTCGCATCATCCTGAAGAGGATAAAGGACACACTGGATACAGAACTCCGACCAGAACAAGCTGGATTCAGGAAAGGCAAATCATGTTCTGACAAAATTGCAACTCTACGCATCATCATCACCGAACAAAGCATGGAATGGCAATCAAACCTCTACCTCAACTTTATAGACTTTGAGAAGGCCTTCTACAGCGTTGACCGCGAAGTAATTTGGAAACTACTCGAGTACTACGGCGTACCCCAAATATTCATCAACCTTATTCAACAGCTGTACAACAACGGCACATGTCAAGTGATCCACAACGGAAAACTCAGCGAGGCTTTTGGAGTAAACACAGGAGTCAAACAAGGGTGCTTATTATCACCAATGATATTCCTAATTGTGGTGGACTGGATTATGCGTCAGACAGTGGGAAACGAGAAGAAACGGATATCCTGGACCGACATGAAGAACCTAGAAGACCTGGATTTCGCGCGTGGATGATTTATGTTTGATGTCACACAAAATCGAAGACTTACAAGCGAAAACCGACAAACTGGTCGAAGAAGCAGCCAGAGAAGACAGGACTCCAGGTGAACATAGACAAGACGGAGGTTATGAAAATAACCAACCAACAACAACAACAGCAGCAGCAACATCCAGCGCCAATCACCATCAACGGGAGGGATTTGAAAGAGGTCACTTCATTCACTTATCTAGGGAGGGAGCATTGTCTCAACTACAGGAGGAACCAACGAGGATGTCAAATCGAGAATCGGGAAGGCGAGAAACACATTCATCAACCTGAAACCAATCTGGAAATCTTCGTCACTCAACTCAGCATCAACAACAAAATGATTCGGATTTTCAATACAAACGCCAAGTCAGTCAGTTCTTCTATACGGATCAGAAACTTGGCGGGTCACAAAGAATATTTCCAACAGCCTGTTGCAGACCTTTATCAACAACTGTCTTCGTTCTATACTGAAGATCAGATGGCCGGAAAGAAAACAAGAAACTATGGGAACAAACAAAACAAGAACCAATCGCCCAACAAATATGCAGGAGAAAGTGGAGATGGATTGGACACTCACTGAGGAGGCGGCTGGGTGACATCGCGCGTCAGGCCATAGCTCGAGTGGAACCCGAAAGGGAAGCGGCGAGTGGGACGTCAGTGCAAGGGTGACATGGAGGAGATTGTGTGAAGGGGAGTTGAAACAGTATGGACTAACATGGATGCAGGTGAAAAGTACAGCAGAAGACAGAAGCAAGTGGAGACGTGTAGTTGAAGCCCTATGTTCCACTAGGAACCCAAGGGAACAATAATAATAATAATACTGCCCGGACGCCCAAACCGAAACAGGAGGTGGTTGTCTAAGAGCAAGAGTCTGGGGGCTTTTCATGTGATATTGCTAACAATAAAATTAGCCCACACATTTAATACCTAGATACATATATAATCAATCAACGGTCTAGACACATACATTGAAAGGTTAAGAGTAAACACTTGGAAAATCTTGAATGCGGGTTATTGATACCTTTACCCAATCCAACAAGACCGTTACTTCCAGGATATAAAAGTGGTGATATTGGTTCATGTCACATGAGAAGATCCTGACTTACTCGCCTAAAGATTGAAGATCCATCTTGCTGATGAGTGTGCCAACGATTAAGAAACCTCGATTAAGGGATTCATTTTGAATGACATCAAATCGGTTGGCATTAAGACAAACCACAGATCCATAATTCATCCATTATGTGGACTCATTATCATCATCATCATCTTTATATTCGAAGTTAGGGGCCGGTTTTACTAGTTTTTATCGTGGTAGCAAAGGTTTCGTATAGTCAGTGTAATGCATGAAGTCTTGTTGTTGCATAGGTTGGGTCTCTACACAGTTGTAGAGTTATGTTCAATGATACACTGGATTTCGAATTTATTTCAACTAATCACTCGTTTAATGGGTGATGATGATTGTGAAGGCGTAAATGAAAATTTAGGCTGCGGTAGAATTCGTACCACTAGTCCAGTGCTCCATCATATAGGCTACGAGACCCACGTCCCCAGCAACAGGTTATGGTTTTACTGAAACCACTCACTACTGATGATGATATGCATAACGCCCAGCTGTCATTTCTTCAATCATCACTTCAGTTACAATCAAAAAATATCAACTACTGAATGTTACTCAACAACAATTACATGCAGTTGGCAGGGAGCCACACCTATTGTGCGAGAGCTGGTTATGCTACTCCCGTGGCTGTCCAAACCTCGGTGCTTGGAATGGGATCGAGAGGTGAACGCCTACACCCATAAGCCATATCTCCACCTAAATCACACAATGACTGAATAAACTTTGAGCACTATGATGTGCCTAGAGTAGAGGTTAAAGGATCCAATTGTTCAATGTAAACAGAATACCATTATGGGTAAATTTTTATTTTGACAGAGTCTCACAGTGTTATACAGTAATATTTACTGATGACGTTTGGAGCACAATTTATTGCTCATAATCATATCAAGGTAATCACACGACTTCCTAAATTCATTTATATAGTTCCATTGTTTATCACTTGATTTGATTGGTGGTATTATTTTCCATATTTCGGGTATGAGTGATGATTCATTCCTATTGCATGTGTTGGGTTTAGATTCGATGAACAAAGATTCAGTAATCAACCTCTCTCTCCACCTACCTAGATTACTTTTTAGAATTTTAACCCTCTCCGAATCTATTATGTAGTTGTGTGTTAATGCATGTAAACAGAATAATCTAGTGTATTAGGTGGTTGGAGGCAATCAGCAGGAAGCCTTGGACCTAGGTTTCGTGCTAGTTGGCACTCATCAGCAAGGTGTATCTGCAACCTTGAAGGAACTGATGTCCCTTCTGAGATTCGAACCCGCGTCACCCAGTGCTGCAGTCAGAGACGTTACCACTGAGCTATTCAGGCTCGCGACTGACCTCCTGTAGGACTGTAATGGACATTTTTGATTGCACAGTAGTCAGTAATTAATGTAATGTGTCTAGTTTTATCTTCGGTGCAGAATAATCTAGTGTACAAAAGAGCTTGCAATGTCTGTCAGGTTGAACTATATAAGTAAATCCAGTAGATTCAGGGTCAGTTAGGTGTTAATTAGCACATAGGAATTTCAGTACAGCGAAAATTCCCATTCAGACATTTAAAAGACAAGAAAGAGAAGAATAGTGAGCATAGAATATTCTTTTGGCTAACTTCCTCATCTAGTTTCACATTGAGAGAGAGTAATTTTTATTGTGATAACATTGATGTGTTCTTTCCTAAACAACCTCGAGTTGTTCGAACCAATAGAATTACAGCTCAAATAAGTAACTCATCGTGTACATGAAAATGTAATTCTAAATTGAATATTAAAAATAAAATTAAGAGAAAAATTCAAATGATAATTAAAGATAGTTGACGATACAATGACAGCTTATACAATGTGCTGTAGAGAGAAGGTGAATTCTATCAAGTTATATTACAATCCAGCAGTGTGATGGACAAGGTAACGAAAGCGTCCGAACGAACTTCTTCTGAACACCTAAGTTAGGCTTCTTTAGGTGGATTTTTAACAGCTTCAACTCTATATTTCTAAGACGAACTCGTAATGTAAAATTAGAAATAGTTGGAATACGGTAGACAACATCGACTTCATGTTCAAGTAGTATCTACAAGATGAGGTTAAACAACACAGCTACGAATACAGACAGACCTTGTCTGATCATGCAGTATGATGTTCAGAGATTCGATTATGAACATGCTAGCTGCACAGGAGTAGTTAAACTGCTTGCTAAATACACATAGAGGTGACGAAATAAGGTTGTTTATCCTTAATTCTCGACAGTGAAATTGGAATGCTTGTGGAGAGACGGTGAACTTCTGCTGCATTGAATGCTCTTTCCTACTGTATTCCTTTAGCTTTGGGGTTATTATTTCACCAAGGGACTGTAGCTTTAAGAACTCGACATTATTTAAAAAGCATTATTGTTGTAGAGAGTGATTACTTTATAAATATTATGCGTATATGTAATTTCAAAGGCGAATGAGGAAGTGTTTGGAAAGAATATTCTTTGCTCACTATTCCAAAAAGGAAAAATAACTCAGCATCTCAATTGTATGCATTGTAACACACTAATGTGAGTTTGGGAAGATTCACCACTAAATCTTTGTTCAGCGAATCTGTACGCCAGAAACAGATGCGATATTGAACGGCTTACACCAATTATCAAATGAAATGATCATGTCTAATGTCACACAAACTTGAAGATCAACAGGCGAAAACCAAAGAGTTGGCAGAAGAGGCTGGCAGCGAAGACAGGACTTCAAGCAAACATAATAATAATAATAGTAATAATAATTTGCTTTATTCCAAAACAGTACTTGTGATACAGAATGGAATTCTCAGCATTTTGTTTACTACAGTATTGCATCCAGTTAGTACATCATCAATAAATAAAATTCTACATAGATTAAGGAAATCTCAGTTCATTATGACAACAACATATTGGCATGTTGGTAGCAAAGCCAAAGTTGAACAGTGTTTGAAGGCGTTAGAAAAGTAGGTGCTATCATATTTACTGGCGTAAGCGGAAGAAAGAAACAAGGCAGCAGATAATGGAAAAAGAGAGAGAGAGGAAAGGAAAAGAAAGAAAATGTTGTTCCTATAAATGATATGAGTTGGAAAGACGAGGTCCAGTTGTTCTACTGACTATTTAATGAGTTATAGGTGTCACGCCTAATGCTTTCTTTATCACACAGAACACGAGCTGAGTAGGGTATGGTTGAGTTTTTGTACTTGCTTGCTGGTGCGAGCATATAGTTTTCTATATAGGCTTCTGGTTTTGCCTGATGAGATGCAAGGTGAGGGGAGAGTTGTGAGTGGAGAGGGTGGTGTGAGTCAGATAAAGTGGATTTGGCCCATTTTTCACATGAGTCCATGTGCCTGTTAACCAAAATATTAAAAAGCTGGTTAAGTGGCACGGAGGCGAAAAAGATAACCAGCCGACAACAACAAGTATCAATCACTACCAACGGAATAAATTTGAAGGAGATCACTTCCTTCATTTATCTAGGCAGCATCATCGCAACTACCGGAATCAGAGAGACGAGATAGACATTCATCACTCTGAAATCCATTTGGAAATCTTCTGCACTCTGCAGCATAAAGAACAAGGTTCGGGTTTTCAACACCAATGTTACGTCAGTCATTTCTTTATGGGTTCGAAACTTGGTACGTCACGGAAAGCATTTCGAAGAGGCTTCAGATTTTTATCAATAGTTGCCTTCTCTTGCTCCATACTGTACATCAAATAGCCTAAAAGAGTTAACAACAAGAAACTCTGGAAACGAACCAGTTAAGAACCTATTGCTGAACAAATATGTCGAAGAAAATGGAGATGGATCGAGCACACACTGGGGAGACCGTCGGGTGACATCCCACTCCAGGCCATCGACTGGGGGAAACGACGAGTTGGGCATGGGTTCGAGGGTGACATAGAGGAGATCGTGTGAGAAAGTGGTGAGAGCCTATGGGCAATCGTGAGGCCATCTGAAGGGGACTGCATAGAGTAGGTGGAAATGGAGATGTACTGTCGAAGCCCTATGTTCCACCAGGAACCCATGGGACCAATAATAATGATTATTATGATGCATAAGGATAAGAGAGGGTGCAAGTATGCCGACTTCCGTTAGTAATTCTGTATAATTTTTCTACATGTGTTACCTAGATTCACCACAGTTGGTATTCAAAGTATTTATTAATTTATTTTGGTGTTTTCTTCCATTTTTATTGCATTATTTTTTAGTTACTAACAGTAAACAAACTCCTCTGCATTTAGCTGTTACAAATAATCAAGGCCCAGAAACATTGTATCTATTAATGGCTCAACCAGGAGCACCAGTCTACGGTGTACGTAATAAGTTGGGTGATGAAGTTGCAGATATTATCAAGAAGAATTCACCCTATGGAGATGTATGCTATGCATTCAGTGAACCAGCGACTAATTTAACAAAAAAGACCATTAAACGATGACATCACTTTCTTGTTTTAATGCTTATTATTAATAATAAAGAAAGAAAAAAGTTTTTCATGATTGATGATTGGTTGGTGTGTAGTGTTTGGTGTTTTGAAAATTTTAATAAACAACAATTAAGAATAACCAATGTGTGCCTGGATGATAATATGAGCTCATCTTTTATTATTATTATTTCGAGGATTCTTCTCAGCTGGCTACGAACTGAAGAATACAACAACAAAATATAATTTCATACATTTGGTTCCCTTGATAAATTTCCATAGAGAAAGAAAGACCAGATTTGCAGTATAAAATGATATCATTCTATTTCACAGGTTCTCATCAGCTGCAAACTACCTGAAATTACAATGGTTATAATTAATAACATTTCATACTTCATTGTTTGAAAGGTAATACAGAAAGCATTATAAGATAAACGCATCCGGAATATAAGGATTAAAATTTTTTTGTAGTTTAAGTTACCACCAATTTATATACTATCAAACTATGGCAAAAAGAAAGAAAAAGGGGGTGAGAGAAGACAGAAAACAGAAAAATCTAATAAACAGTGTCAACATGGCAACTCAACAAGGTCAAAGTTCATCAATTTGAAAACTTGCTTAGTGAGTTGAACTCACTAGTGTTTATGAGTAATCAGTGTAATGAAAGTGATATGGTTACCAAGGTGTTGAGAGATTGACTACACTCTCTTTCTGTGTGCATAAGTTTGGTCTGAGGCGTTTGATTGCAATTGATTCAGCAAATCGTAGTAGATTCGCTGTCCTTTGTATGTTTAATATTTTGAAGGATTTGGAAATCTCAACAAAATGGCCTGTATCCACAAGGTGTCTGATAATTGCACTTTGTAAATATTTGCTTCCTTTTAAGCATAAGTTTCTTGGAATATGCTCTGAAAACCGGATAGAAGCCCTTCTTTATGTCCTTCCGATGTACTTGCTGCCGCAGGTGCACGTAAATTTATAAATGCAGTTGGAGGTAACATCAGCAGGGTATTTATCCAGTTTCGATTGGCTTATAGAGCATGTAGTACTGTATAGTGTCACTAGATTGGCTGCGGGGAAGCATCTCTTGATTGTTCCTTTCATCCTTTTTTCAATCTTTCGCGATACTGTTTCTCCTTTGTATGGGAGGCAAATGAATACTTTCTTCTTTTCAACTGTTGGATACTTCTCTTTCTCATCTCTTTCTTTGCTGTACTTTAGGATAAATCCTTTTGGATACCCGTTCTCCTTAAGGCATTTTTCAACGAAGCTTAATTCTTCTTCTATCTTGTTGGGCGAACATAACTTCCTAGCCCTGTCGTACAGTGGCCTTACTAATCCCCGCTTATAGCTCATAGGGCAGAAGCTGTTGTAGTGAAGGTATTGTCCGGTCCAAGTTTCTTTTCTGTAGATGGACTTTTCGACCGTTCCATCTTCTCTTCTTTTTACATTTAGATCTAGGAAATTGAACTCATCGTTGTGTTCGTATTCCATGGTGAATTTAATGTTTGGGTGGACCTCATTTAGGCGGTCAAATAATACGGATGCCTGTAACGACATGAGTCAGGCATCCGTATTGTACCAAGTTTTTCTGCGTTTGAATAAAATAAAATAAAAATATCTCTCTCTCGTAAGAGTGTTTATAGATATATCAAACCAATTCATTCATTTTTGTTCCTTGTGAGACATATGGCTTCAAGCTAGAGCTCCGAAGTTCCGGTAGCAGTGGTGCTTATTTTTACGGGATAGGGTTGCTAGCCTCACGGCCAACCTTCCCTCTCTACTATGAGGTTATTACCAGTTAAGCGAGGTAAAGGTATGCGTCGGCCGGGAATCGAACCGCCAGACCAATTGCGCAGTTGGCCAGTGCTCTACCACTCAGCTACCGATGCATATCAAACCAATGTCGGTACAAAATATATCTATCATACCATATACGGAACCATTTACCATTCTAATACTTTTTCAGGTGGGCTCAGAATCCTTCAATAGAATTTTTATAACTTAAACGTATAGGATCCATTAATTCAGAAGAATGATGATTTACTTTATGATAAATATAACGTGATGACAATAGTTGCGAACAACCTCTCCACTCGTCTGTGTAAATGGTAGTGACTGGTAGGATTTGTCGTTATATTATCGGTCGGTTTTTGACATAGAACTTTGCACATATGTGCGGCAGTTCAAGTCGCCACACTCCATGTAGCACACAAAGGAAGAGAAAGTAGGAGAAATGCATAATATAGACAGTAAACAGAGGTGTGAGACAAAGGAATAGTAACAACGAAGAACAAAACAGTTTCATTAGAAATCATAAGTCACAAGGAGTGGATGCATCTGCGCCACTGAGAACGATTTTGAGCTAGCCATGTCACCAATTGTTTCCAACCATTGGTTTTTACCGTCCCGAGGACCCCAACCAGGAGGCCAGTCTACACCTTCCTACGTGGCTTAGACTAACTGTTGTGGATTTCATTGACTGGTGCCATGTTTTCGTTTGACCGCCACTAACTCTTTTCCAGCCTGAACCTATATTAGCTAACATTGCCCATTGTCGAGGAAGGCGATGACTAGGCATACGTAACACATGTCCTAACCATCTCAGTCGATGTAATTTCAGAGCCTCGTCGATTGATTTCCCCACCTCACTCGACCGATGGCCTAACCTCAATATTGCTCACCCTATTATACCACTTCACGCGGGAGATAGAACGCAGGCACCTATGATCAAAGACAGCTAGTCTTTTCATGTCTTCCGCTCTCAATGGCCAGGCCTCACAGCCATAAAGCAGGATGGAGCGGACTGCTGAGCAGTACACACGCCCTTTGGTCGATAGTCGGATATCACGTCTACGCCAGAGACGGCATAAACTGGCATATGCGAAACTAGCCCTCTGTATTCATGCTGATGTTTCGTCGGAGACCAACCCGTTGGGGCTGATGGTACTTCCCAAGTAAGTGAAGCGGTCAACGTGCTCTATCACTTCACTTCCTATTTCTAATCTAGGGGTCGGTGAAGTCCAATCCTGCAGTATCATCTTACATTTTACAGGGGCGAATCGCATGCCAAACATACGAAGATTGTTGCTCAAGGTGTTCAGAAGACTGCATTTTGTCAGCGTCCGTTATATTATCGGTGTTAAAACATCGACACTTCTGTTTTGTGGATGCGTTCCACTAACTCTTTTCGAAGATTTGTATCGTATAGTCCCAGAACGCAAACATAATTTGCTCTTCTCCTACCGCGTTTAATAAGTACTGTTTCGTCAATGTGAACGACGACACCAACTCTTTCAAGTACAGAAGTAATTCCATGGGTCTTTTTTGAGGCAATATCCCGATAGTGCTGATACCACTGCCCTGCTGACATTTTAGTACTCTCTGTTTTTGCAGCTGTATCAGATACTGGTTGTTTCAGTAGCCAGTTGTAGCATATGCGCAATATTTTAGTAATGGAGAGTTTCAATTTCGAGAAGGTATCTAAAAAAACCACCATCATGTACAACTTAGCAAACCTTACAGACTTCCTGATATAACAGTGATTGTATCAAAATGCATAACCATCAACAGCCCGAGAGTAATTCTGAAGAGTCATTATCCCTCCATGTATGTCTGTTTTCGTCCTCTCCATCAACTGGAATTCAAAAACTAAATCTGGGTGAAACGTGCAACAAAGATTATGAACAGCATCCCTTTTTGTAATGCTGAGCGATCTGACTGATTGGTTAAGGGTCATTTGACTTTGGTGTCTATTCTTTACTGCTACCTGTAAGTTATTAAATAATTAGGGGATTAAAAGCATTGACTATTTATAGGATGATTAGACTAATATGCTTTCTAGTTAAACTTTGTTCCTCCTCAGTGTAACTTATATTTTGGTAATGTTGAGGTTGTAACCAGTTGAAAAGAATCCTCGAAATAATGGTACCATTTGTCGTCCTTCTTTTATTCAACTTTATTAATAGAAAGAATTGTATGGAGTTTTTGATTTACATGTACGTGCCGAAGTACACACATTAAAAGAACAGAGATAAGGGTTATTGTCCGCATTTCTGAACACATACCGAAGAACTTAAAACTAAAAATCTCACAGGCATTAAAGAGTGTGATTATGCGCCATCTGTTGGATACTTTGTCATGCTGTAGACATCTCAAATTAATCATCAGGCAGGAGAAATCTTGCTTGCCTACGTTTCTCTGAGGCAATCGTCATCAAACGACTAAAACCAAATCTGTGTACGCAGAAAAAGACAGTGGTGAATCTCTCACTGCCTTGGTGATAATAAATTATATTGTTCCATCTAAATATGACTCAATCTAATCCCCTTCCTTTCTATTGTACAAAACTATATTTTCTCTATTTGTGTAACTTATTATATTGTTATGCTTTCTCTAGTTAAACTTTCTTTCTACCCAAAATAGATTGGTGAACTCTCTCTTTTTGTTTCCAAGCATATTCGCGTTTAATTATCCTATAAATAGTCCATTCTTTTAACTCTTAATTATTTAACAGCCTACATCATTTCGGACTTATGTTACTCTTAGTTCCTATCAATTACTCTTTGTCATCGCGGAAAAAGTATTTTCGAATCTTTAATGTAATTTTTGTATCGTTCGGTTTGTAGGCAGTTGGTAGGATTCTCGAAATAGTAAAAGGTGAGCTCATTATCATCCTGGCACACATTTGTTGTTCCTGCTTTGTTCAAGTTTATTGATGGAAGCAATTTTTTAAGTTTTGTAAAGGCTTTTAAACGGTACAGTGTACAGATGCATCCTTCTTTCTGATAACCATGAAAGATAATCGTTGAAAGTGAAAATAAAGATGAAGAAACTATCCCATTCCTCTTGGACCATAGGTATCTGCGTCCTGTATCTATTAATACTATTTATAATACAGTCAAGAACATTGAAGTTAGACGTAAAGTGTAGGAGGTAAGGACGGTAAGCTAATCGATAAAGTTGTGACGTTTCATCGATTGAGATGGCTAGGATACATGTTAAGCCATCGGCCT